GGACGTGGTACTTGCCCCTTCGTGCTCTGTTTGCCTCCAAAGCCCAGCAACATAAACGAAACTGCATTACCTTACGATGTGCTAAACGAGGGATGAAAACCTTAGCATGTGTTGGCCACATAACGGCTGCGGCTCCCGAAAAGGGCAGCCCCATCCAGTGCTTATACTTCGCCATTTGCACTCCTGGTTGCTTCCCATCTGATGGGTAGTCTACTCAACAACCAGTCAACACGCTCCTTTACCCCCACGACTTCTTGCGGTATTCCACTCCAAATGTTGCACTCCAAGAAGGAAAACAGTTGTAACATTGAGATTCCCCAACCCTCCCATTCTGGGTTGGTCAGGGCATCGGTTATCTCCTGCCGTAAAACGGCATGAGCAATGGATCCCACTTGCTTTTGAAGGCGGTTCCAGAAACGGAGGATCTGCTTCACCATGTAATATTGTAAGGGGAGTTCAGCCAGCTCCGCGTACAACAGCCTGTGGGATGGCCGTGCCGTCCCCACTACCTGCCTCATGAATAAAATCTGCAGCTGGACTGCGCTATCCTTCAAACAGGCTTCGAACATGTCCTCCGCAAGGTTGGCTTTATCCCGCCGTCTTCCCACCCTGTCCACGACCTCTGCCAGCACAAAAGGGCCCCACGCCTGGTGTTTAAATGGTGGCCAAAGCCAGTACCAAACATGCACGTTGCCATGGTCGATTTTGCTCACACACTTCAAGTCATGGGTCAGCAATATGGTAAACCAAACACCGAGAGATGTCTTCACAAAGCAAGGCACCCCTGCCCAACACACTATGACGACGAGTGATCGCGTTAAGTCCGCGTTGGCTCGCGTTAGTTCGCGTAACGGTGCGAATCTTAGCGTTAGGTGCGAATGAGCATGCTTTTGTAACGCAGAGAGCTAACGCACAACGGCTCTGGAAAAGCGGAAATCGGCTCTTCTGGCCAAATTTTTTAAAAATTTATAATTTTCAGATTGTAAAGGTTTATTTGGAAATAAACTTGCGTCGTTTTGGTCGACTTGAACAATTCATCCGTGCGTATGTTGAAACGTGAAGCATACGCGCATGTGTAGCAAAGCGATACGCATGCGATTCCATATTGCGATTCGTGCGTGTGGGGAGACAATGCGTAAAGCAATTCGCGTCCACTCGCACATCAAACGCACACAGTCCGCAAGGCTATTCGCATGCGAATGCATGTTGCGTTTCATGCGTATGAAGGCTCATTGCGTAAAGCTTAACGCGGCCTAACACACACCAAACGCACACATTTCGCGATGCAATTCGCATGCAAACACACGCTGCGTTTCATGCGTATGGAGGCTAATTGCGTCAAGCTTAATGCGGCCTAAGCTAACACAAATGAAAAATCGCATGAAATTACAATTGCCGTGCGATGTTGCATGTGTTGGTCGCATACTCAGTTCGTTAACCTTCACGCAGTCTCATGAGAGAATACCATGCATGCCAGCACGCAGGAGGGCCTT